ATTATTTACAGAACCTGTGAATCTGTACAAATATCAGAATTTGCATGATAATCTCCACTAAACTACAGTTCATCTTTGCTTGCTTTCTTGAATATGAGTATCATCTCACAGTTTGGAGACAGACTTGACAAGCAGTCTGTTGGTCAAACCATAGAAGGAAAGTAATTGCAGAGACAATTGCTGCAAAGCTGCTCTATCTCAAATTTGGTTTTTGAATGACAACACAATGTTACTATTTTTTAGAACTAGTCCAAGCCATATGACAATGCCTTCTTGTGGTAACCAATGTTTTCCGTGCTGGACTTATGAAATAGGTAATGGTGACAGAATGGGCACAGTACTCCAATGTGAGGCAGCAGGTGTGGTTGCTACCATGCCGAGTATTGTCTCAAACCCTGGGATTTGTAGTCTAAATACATTTTTTCCCCTTTCTTTTCAGATCACAGTGCCTGTGATTTAAGTACATTTCATATTGACAGCACTCTGCAGTATGTTTAGATTCTCCGGGTCATGCTCAAGCCTTGCTTCGGGATACATGGCTGTGAAGATCAAAATGACAGTTGTGTTTTCTTCTTTTTCTTTGCATTTTTAAGTCAATGGAGCTGGAATTCCAAGTTCCTGACTGCTTCTGCCTGTAGGATTTTTAGAATAGCTTCAGAGCATTCAGAAGTCATAGCAGAAATAGCTTGTCTTCCTGAATGTCAGTGTTTCTGAAGCCCAGGGACAATTATATAAAAGCTTTTATTTAAAAAAAAAGTCAAAGAATAAGATAACATAATCAGTTATTGAGACTACAGACCTGTACTAAATGCTGTCATTTAAAAGAATTTTGCTAAAATGACATTGTTTGTGGAGCAGACTGTTATTGGCATAACTTCCATAAGTGCTGCTTAGCCAAAGTGTGAGTTGAGCAGTGTTCATCTGGAGACTTGGAATGTTTTGGAGCTAATAGGAATTGGTGTTGGTCATCTGAATTAAATTTTTTTTGTTGCAAACTGTACTGAGAGTTCAGATTCATTTCTTTGTGTGGGTTTCTATTAACAGTATGGCTCAAGGCTGGTGGAGCTTTTCTGAGATACCTGGAAACATTTCCTGGCCCCTGAATGATAGGGATCTGGATATTAGATCTTTATACCATATATGTTTCCAGCAGCAAAATGTATTCTAATTTTATTCTAAAAGAAGGCTCTCATAAGAGAATGCAGGGTATCTTGATGATATTTGTAATTACAGAAAGACTTCAACAAAGTTTCCTTGCAGTTGTAGGTTTTTGTGTTACCTGACCTTTCTAATTGGCTGTCATTGTTAGGCAGTGTGATTAGAAGAAAGATGCCGGTTTTCCAGGCAAATTCCTGCAATATTTTTCCATGTCTGTTTTAATGTAGCTATGCTTTCCTGACTAATGTAGCATGAGGGTAGCTGCTGGCTGCTTACTCTGTGGGTTTTCTTGTTTGGCACTTCTGGAAGCTGGGCTCGTTGTTTACCCAATTCAAGGAGTTACTTTCTAAAGAGCTACCTTCCTCTAGAAACTACAGTGTTTAAAGAAAATGTAGTTAAATTTGCATGATGTTTATTGTAGCAAATGCTGATTTAATCTTTTCCTAAAATAAAAAAATGTTGGCTTTACCCTTTGAATTTAAGAAGGGCAAAGAAACTCTGGAAATTTCCAAACTCTCCCTCCCACGAATCCCGGTCTCCTGGAACTGATTCTATTCATTTTCACTAGTTTGATGTGAGATATATCCACAATGACAATAGTGATGAATGCAGATACCAGAAGACTCTGCCCAGGTTTTATTTTAAAGCCTTATATACCTACAGAGATTTCAGGCACCCACAGATTTTATACCTGATAGAAAATTACTATTAAAGTTTAATACTGCAGTAAAAGTAAATCCTAGGGATTTGCTGGAGCCTCCTGGAGTTTAAGCTATGAAGAATTAGAATAAAATAGCTATGTGTCTTACAACCCATAAGAAAAATAATTGACAAAATAAGAACTACATTCTGAGACAATTTCTTTGCTAAGTTTTGCCTTTGCTTGTCTTATCTAACCTTTTTTTCAAAGAAGAATCTAGTCTTCTTAAGTGGACTGTACAGGATGTACTTCAGTTAATTCTCTTCTTTCCCTTTCAGCTTGTTTCAGACTGAAGAGCTATTTCCCTTCCCCACAAGTTTCTGTCATACATCTTTGCCTCCAGCCAGGAAAATCTGCTTAGGGCTCCCCAGTTGTGGGGACAGGATCTCTGTATTGGCCAGAGGACTGGAGCCCAGGGTGGCTGTTCTCTCCATCTGAGGGTGGTGATGTGTTCCCAGCACCACTCTCTGCATCTGCTGAACGCACAGGCGTGAGGCCATGGTTTATAATGGACTCATACAGGCTCTTTTTTGGGCAGTGCTCTGGCCTTTTCTTTATCACCCAAGGAGAACATGCCAGAAGGGACGTGGTGCTGTTGTGCTGTTTAATAATGTGAAGCTCAAAGACAGCAGTTTTGCATGTTTAGAGATTAAAGATAATATTACTCAAAATATAGCAACAGTGTATTCTGAATATTCTAGTTACTGTGGAATAAAGAACATCCTAGGAGAGTAATTTTGTTAAAAGACTATGAATTTCAGGCTATTTGATGATTTTATTCTCATTCCTGGAGGGCTACATTAGGTCAGGAGGAGCAGATGGAAACTTTTTGCTGGGACAGTTACTTGACAGCTTCCTTCTGCATTGTGTAAAGACTCCATTGGCAGATTTTCTAAATTGCCAGGGAGATGTAAATCTATTTTCTGCCTGCTTTTCTTCCACTGTCTTATGGTGCTAGTGCTATGAATGTAATCCTTTCTAGTTTCTTCATCTTTAAGTGGTGTTTCCCAGTTATCTTTCACAATTTCTAAGAGGTCTATTACTTTTAGCTGACACTTAAAAGGGAACATTTACCAAGAGGAGTTCAGTCTTCAAACAGCTCTACTCAGGTGACTCCCTCACTTTGGTCCCTGGCAGCTCAAGCACTCTTGGTGATTTGCAGGTTTTCCACTAATTTTTCTTTGTTTCCTTAATTCCACAATGTTTGATTGCAAATGACCAACTTGACTAATCTTAACTGCAACAGGTATGTATTAGTGCAGCTCAGGTGAAACGGAGGAAGTGGTTTTCCTCTGGCTGCTGCTCTGCAGCTTGCACAGTGCAGAGGGGTGAATTTTATCAAGGGACAGGATCACAGCCATGCAGATACACAGATGCCCTATCCAGGCCTCAGTTTGCTTCTGGTGTTCCCAGGCTTTAAGCAAATTATCAGCACGCTGGTAAAAATCATCCAGTTAAAATATCCTACGTAAAGAAAATAATTTAAATTCCACAGATTTCTGTCTGTGGGTAATTATTCAGTCTAAAACAAATAACCTGGAGGTTATAAATAAAATAATTTTGCTAAAAAATACTATCATGCATTATTAAATATCTACATTTTTAGATATGATAAAGTAAGAAAAGGTCTAAATTCTGTTTGTTCTGTTGTAGTACTTCCCAAAGAGAGTAAATTTCTTTCAAATTTCTTCCTGGGGAAGACTGGGGATTCGTTTGCCAAATATAGACCTTGATTTGCATATTTTTTTATTGTGGGATTTATGTACCTGTGAAAATATGGGCATATGATAGAAAGCCTGACAGACCCTTTAAGTATGGTGTCACTAATACATTGATATAATTTGTTACCTTAGCTAAGGTGTTTTGCCTCAAGAGGTAGAATACTTTTATGTATGAAAAGGTCACTTTTAATTAATAAGCTGTTTTCCTCATTCAGGGACAATATGAATTACTTGTTACATTTGTGTGAAATAGTTTTCAATATAAAAATAAAACAAATTGAGCTTTATGTCACATTTATCATCCCCCATAACCCATTTAAATGTCAAAAAAATCAGTACAGACCAAAAGTCTATTTCTAGAAGCCTTTGTAGCCCTATTTATCAGAGTGAAATAAGATATTATCATCCCATTATCCCATCACATGCCTTCTGCACTTGAAGCCATACCATTTCTTCATTTTCTATAATACAGAAGATAGTTTTTCTATTGTTAAATATTACTTGTCCAAGCTGTAAGTAGCAAAGAAAGTGCTGAATGTTTCTCACACTATAATATAAATGTATGATACAATATACAATTATTTGATTGCTTTTTTTGTGCATATTTCAAATGGAAAAAAAAATAGTGCTTGTCTATCCCTATTTGACAAAACAAATATTTTGCAGACTACAATTTGTTATTGTAATTTTACGGTAAGGATAAAGCTTTCAGTGTATTCACTAGTGATGTATTTTGACAAAAATCATGCCATTGTGTGGAAACTTTATATCCTTATATATTTTACCATGAAATAGCATCCCATTAAAAAAAAAATTCAAGTTCTTTGTCTGAGTTTTGTTTTTTAACAAGGAGGGCTCAGGTAGCCACATGACTCTATGAGTGTATGTCTCTTCCTTCTAATAATTCTGAAATTTGAAATATGAGTGGGACTGAAGTCACAAAGGTTCTGAGTTCATTTAAGATGCATGAAAATAGGCAGCAGGATAGAGGAAGAAGGTCCCATTAATGCTGATAGAGAGGAAGATGCTTCTGAGGGTTGTGATAAAGAACCTGATGAGGAGTTCAATTCCAGGGAATCCAGCAGGATCTAGAGCTAGAGAGTTCCTGTTGAAAGAAGTTGATCCAGCTGAATATCAGGCTAATGCATATTGAAGGGCACAGCCACAGTTCATAAACATGCAAGAAATCAGGTGGGGTGGTTTGTTCCTTATGAGGCTTCAACAGATTATGCCATTATTGTATCAAAATTCTTATATACACTTTGAAAAGAGAGAATTAATTTACTGGTGCAGATGTTAAATGCTGCAAATTTTATTTTATGTAGAAATGTGTGGAGAAGTAACCTTCTACTGGTTTTTATGTATTAAATATATTTTATTTTATGCTCATGTGTTCTTTTTTTTCACTTTTGCTGCAACAGGCAGTGCCATTGGAAGCGATGATATCATAGCAGGGAACGTGAGCAAGTACATTGTTCTCCCATCTGGTTACTGTGGGCAGCCTAAAAAAGGACATCTTATATTTGATGCCTGTTTTGAAAGTGGTGAGTATTTTCAGCATTATTTTACCTAGTTGTCAATATATTAACACTTTATCAGCCATCTTTTTATGAAGTATCTTAATTCTAAAGAAGACTTACGTTAAATACTATTTAACAAATTCAGCTCATTCCCTTCAGTCACAGTATGACTTCAAATCAAACTTCAAATGTCAAAAAGGTTGTGAAGTTTGCTGTTGCCTACAATAAAAATTTCATCAGGTCCATCTTTAACCACATGTGGGTTCATAACTGGATTTTATACTGTTGTTATTTATGTGATAGTATTTATGTATTTATGATGTAGTATTTAAAATATGCCATTTAAACATTTAATTTAAAAGTTTACTGGCAGTTAATCCAGTAAAGAGTCAAGCGCATCCTTGCATAATTAGAGAATTTTAAAAATGTGTGTATGCTGTCTTTAAATATATTACTTTGGGTTTCCTATGGCCTGATCCTATATTGCTGGGGTTAATGGAAGTTTTGCCTCGGATGTCAATAGGACAACTTTAGGAAGCTACTGGAAACTGAAAGAGAAAGCATTTTTACAGGAGTTATAGTTAGCACATTAATTTTAAAGAGTCATTTTAATTGCTTATATGCATGTGGGCTATGTAAGTAAATATATCCATGAAAATGTAGCATTGTTTAAGTTTTTGTGTTGCATACATGTGTGCTACCAGATTTTTAGCTTAATTCTATTATTACTGGCTTTCAGACCTACAGAACACTGTTAAACACCATGTGTAGAAAAGTCATTTGGCAGGATAAACTATAGTTTTCAGCATGGTTTATGTGAGAGGTGCTGGTAATGCCAAAAATGCTCCAGTGTCTTGTAAAATGAGCTTTTTATAAAGACTCATGTCCCTTAGGATAGAATACTGGCTGCCACTTCCTGGATAAATATTAAATTGAGTTATTTAAATCCAGTGATTACATTATGTAAAAAGTGTAAATAATGCAGTGAATAATAAGGGGTATCTTTTTTTAAAGGTGTATCTCTGAAGGTTCAGACAATAGTCCTGTATTTTAAAAACAGTTTGGGTGATATTTCACAAGAGTTATGTGGGTTTCTGCATTTTTGTATCAGAAAATGGCTTAAGAAATGAATCATGGCCAAGCTGGGAAATTTATTGTGCTAAACTTCTCTGCAATGGAAAAGATCAGTAGCAGTCATCAAATTATTTGTGAAGTATTGTGAGTCATTGCATGATGGTTTAATTCCAGTTTTTGAACAATGGAATTAATTATATTTTTAAATTAAAACATTCAGTTGAAAGGTAATGCTCATATTTTACATACTTTGGTAATAATAGAATGTGATAAAAGCAGTTGCTATTTGAAATACTGTATTTATTTACATTGTAGCATGATGAGGCTGTGATGTTGCTTTGCATATTCAGACACTTCCAAAACACAAATATGAATGAAATTAATACCTTCATTTACTTTCTCATGATGACAATGTATTAGCAAGAGTGAGAGTAATATTGTGTGCACTTCATATGTAAATTCACTTCATCTTTTGTTCTATGTCAGCCAAGTAATTGCTTAGAGTACCTTGACTGGTCAAAGCAAATTAACTGATATTGGATAACTTATGAAATTGTTGTTAATAATGAAATCTATCCCACCCTATTGTCCAAACAGTAGGATTCAACATTTATAAGATTGTTTTGATGCTCTTTGAGTACCACCTTAAATATCTTATCCTATTGAAATTGCCTTTTTCATAGAACAGATGGTAAAACTGAACCCCTGCAGTGCTGCCCCCAGCTCTGGGGCTCCCACAACAAGAAATACTGGAACATGCTGGAGCGGCCCAGAGGAGGCCACGAAGGTGCTCCAAGGACTGGGGCACCTTTCCTGTGGAAACAGGCTGGGGATGCTGGGCTGGTCTGGCCTGGAGAAGAGAAGGCTCTGAGGAGACTTTTGTGGCCTCTCAGTATGTAAAGAGGGCTATAAAAAGGTGGAGAAAGCCTTTTCCCCAAGGCCTGTGGGGTCAGGGCAGGGAGAAAGGGGTTTAAACTGAGAGAGGGTAGATTTAGGTTGGCTATGAGGAAGAAATTGTTTGCAATGAGGCTGGTGAGGCACAGGTTGCCCAGAAAAGCTGTGGCTGCCCCATCCCTGGAAGCGTTCAAGGCCAGGTTGGATGGGGCTGTGAGCACCCTGGTCTAGTGGAAGGTGGCTCTGCCCCAGGCAAGAAGGGGTTGGAACAAAATGGTATTTATGATCCCTTCCAACCCAAAGCATTCTATGATTCTAAAATAGAAGTTGTGTTAAGTGTAATTTTGTAAGTGGCTTTTCTTTCTTTGGCTGCATTCTCTGTTTTCTTGAAAGGTCTGGTTGATAGAAAGAAAATACCTATTTTTCAATGACTGTTTTATATTGTAGAAATGTAAGTAAACAGATTTCAGAATAGAGAAGGGGTATCAAACTTGTAGAAGTCAGGAAAAATATTAATACATGCAGAAGAAATGCTATTTAATGTGGTTTCATTTTTGTAATTGCTATCATTATTGTATTAAATAGCATTGAAAAGTGTGAATTTCTTTAAGACAAAGGAGTGTTTTTATGTAGTCTGAAAACCAATGTCCAGCTTGCTGTTTTGAAGTGCTGTGCTTTCAAAAAAATCAAAAAATAGAATTGGGCACTGGGATTTCTTTTTAGTCCATTCTGTTGTTGAGAGGCAAAATAAACTATTTTTGCCATTCCTGACAGATATTTATCTTTTTCAGACACTTTCAGTGAGTTTCAATGAGAAAGCAGAAATCTATTCTAACACTGCAATTTGCTCAATATAAGAAACATTTTCTTTCTATGTAGAAATGTTCTTGCCAAAAAGGTATTAATTCTTGTCCAGTCCTATAGGCACAAAAAGCAGATTATTCCTTTCTTTTTTGACTTAATGGAAAGCTGCTATCATATCTTCCTTGGCCTTTCTCTCCTCAGGTTAAATAACTGCTATTTTTTTCAATGGTACCTTAGTGCTCACATTTTCCAAATTTTCTCTCATTCTTTATTTCCTCTGGCCTATCTCCAGCTGTTTTTATTTCCTCTGGCCTATCTCCAGCTGTTTTCTGCCTTTCTTGATTGGCAGTGGTCCAAGGTGAGCATGATACTCAGATAAGCTGTGGTGCCAATTCTATGTAGAGTTTATTACATGACATGCCTTGCAATCTATTTACTTCCGCAATGTGACAGTCCAATCTTTTTCACAATAGCATGGTACTGTTGACTTCTATAAAACTTGTGAACCCTTACACTGTCCAGGTCCTTTTCTGAAGGAGCTAAACCAGCTGGTGCCTTGCACTTTACTTACTCTTAATGAATCTATTACTAGGGGAAAAAAATCATTGCTGTAAAATAAATGCAATTACTGAAGATGAAGAAAGGTGCCTCAGCCCTTTATCTTATTAATAACTGACAGAGGAGTAAAGAAGAGGGAGAATTATCAACTTGCAAGTATGTGAGGAATTTGTGTTTCCCATAGTTCAAGCTAGTGTTGTGCCTGGAATGTTCGTTCTTATCTTTATTAATATTTAAGAATATATACAGCCAAAAGAAACTTTTTACATTGATTTATCATTGGCATGAAAGAAACTGATAAAAATTCAGATTCCTTGCATACCACACCATACTTTTAGGATAATTTTAGTTTGCCCAAGAAACATGAGTTAGCTTCAGAGAAAAATGGAAGCACAGCTACCTATGCACAGTACAAATTTAAAGGCAATGCCACATCTGTATGCATTTGTATACATTGTATATACAATGTGTACATTTGGTCAGTTGTAATTGTTTCCTAATATTCATTAATGCATTAAATTATTAACACAGTTTCAGTTTAGCAGCAATGCGCATCTGTACAATTGTTTACCTCTCATCACACCTACTGTTCTGTCAAAATGGGAATTTTGCTCAATAGAGTGGGTAAAAGGATGTATTCATTTCTGCTATCCAAAGAAGTCCTTCCTGATTGAGGAAGTCTCAGATTTTGATATGAATATGTTCTTCAGGGAATTTGGCATTTCACATTCAAGGTGAGTTGGTATTTCAGACATTTTATATAAAGGACTTCAAATTTTAGTTTAGCCAGCTGCCCCTACTGTCTTGTGTTGCCTTAGTGCTTGTGATTTCTGATGGCATCCATTAAGTCAGCAGCCTATTCTGTATTGTAGCTAAGAGCTGTTTTACCTGCTTAGTAATTTTAACTGTAAGAGATGTTTTTGGAGATGATACCTCCAGTGCTGGAAGCCAGTTGTTTTTCTGGAAGCTTACATATCTGCATAGCTTTGCTTCTGCATGAGGTCACAGATTTTTAGTGAATATAACATGATGCATTACAAGCTTTTTATATGAAATTTTCAAAGTGAACAAAGAAAACATAAACCAAATGACTCAGCCCTTAAAAAATCCCACTTTTTTTTTTCTCCTTGTGCAAAGGCTATTTGCTGTGTGTAGCCATCAGTTGCTTTCCTGGCTCCATCACAGAATGATTCTGAGGTGGGCTCTGGTTGTTCCTCAGCTTTTGCTTCCCTGGGCTCTCCATGGAGAGAACTGGCAGATGGAAAACTTGGGCTGACACTGCCAGGTGTGGCTTTGCTGCAGAAAAATGCTGAGGAGGTTCAGATGTTCCTTTTTCCTGGTGTCACTGGGTCTCCAGTCCCCAGGGTGGGTTGGTTGGTGGCTCTGGGCTGTGCATGCTCTGGGATGCACCCCAGTCCTGCCTGGCCTGTCACGGGGAATATGGGAGGAAGCTGCAGTCAGGCTGCAGACTGTGATGTTTTTAACTGTGTTGTGAGCATGGTTAAAAACCCCAAGCTCGACAGTTTCTGCTGCTTGTGGCTCAAATTGCTTGTTTTATAATTACTTTTGAGAATTGAAGGAGCAGTGTTGGCTCACAGAGGTTCGTAAATCTCAGCATTCACACTGTTAAATACAGGGGCTTTTAATAAGGCTTTGAAAATATATATTTTGGCTTGTTAATCAAATATAATGCT